TTTTGCGTCGAAAACCAAATATCGGCAATCTAAATAGAATCAGTATTACAACACTGTTAAAATATTATTAGTTCTTATACATCAAAAACTCTTAAACATGCAAAAAATAGAATTAGTATTCTCACTGTCATGCTCGACTGATGCAAAAAAATGACATAATGTATCAAGAAGTAGACCCACATTCTAAACTTTGTGATCTCTACAACATAATGAATAACACTGAGCTAATATGTGACTTAGGAGGATAACCCCAATTCATTTATATAACATAACATAAATTGATATTAGTTTGATCGATATTTTTTTTTTTTTGTTCATATTTATAACTAAGTGTAACTTTTAGGTCAGCAATCAATTCAAGTTGCATAAGAAATTAATAAAATGCTCTTAAAATATGAAAAGAAATTTGTATACAAAATAACTAAGTCAAGTGCACATCTGTAATTTTTTTTTTTTTTTCAAATCAAACATGATATGAATCTAAAAAGTGAAATTATGAAAGATATGATCAATTATGTCATAATGCACTTCAATAAATGCATGGTATGGCTTGAATTATGAATGATCAAGAATCATATGTATGATTATTCGAAAAGCATCATTGAGTGCATGATGTTGTCGCATGTTTATACTCATAACCACTTAGTTTAAGCACTCAGGTGTAAGTTTACTATTAATTTGGCCAGATTTAGATCGTTTATTGATGAAATCCTGCAGTTCCTTCTAAGAAAATAGCATTTTGTTACATTTTTTCCGCCGGTAAATCCGCCTGAAATATTTCCAGCGTATTTGTTTCGTCGACAGAATTAAATTTCCGACGCTCGAATTACCGTTGGACAACTTTTAGGTAGAAATTCGCAGGAAAATGCATTCTACTGGCGGATTCCGTCTGCCAGTAATGATTGATTACCAATTTTAATTCCTGTAGTGTGCTTAGCTCAATCATACGAAAATCTTTGAACTATGTTGGCTTACCTTAATTAAGACTCTCATCTCGCCATGTATGCATCAATTTTCTATAGCATGTCATGTGTGCATAAGAGACATTAAGCAATATATGTTAACACGAGTACTTATTAGCCCCCTAATGATATATCCCTATGCCATTTGTCATGTGTTGTTCTTGCTATTAATACAGCAAATTAGTTATATGTGTCAGCCTATTAAGGCTGTACACGTGTCTCATCTTTGTAAATCAAATCTCTATATATAGATCATAATCTGTATTTTGTAAGGCAAGAAAAGCAATAATAATATTATTTCATATTCTCTGTTTTCACATACTATACTTCTTGTTTTGAGGAAGAACCATGAGTTCAAAGAACTCTACATGGTATCAGAAGTAGTGTTCGGATCCTGACGCTATCACCATGACAACGATCGCTTCCGCCTCTTCCTCCGCTCATACTGAGCCAAGATCCGGCGTCTCAACTCCGGCCATCTCCCCGGCTCTCAAGTTCGTAATTTCTAACATCAAAACTCTCGTTCCTCACTCTCTCACTCCCGACAATTTCCCTCTCTGGAGCACTCAATTCGCCAAACTTCTTAAGGCGAATGGATTCAGCAACTTTCTTCTTCCAAAATCCGCCTCTGAAAATGCGGATCCCAATCAAGAAATTCAAGATTGGTCTCTCACAGACCAAAATCTTGCTACCGCAATGTGTTCTACCATCTCTCCGGCGGTCCTTCCATATGTTATTCAACTCGAATCCACATATGAGATTTGGTCCACGCTTCATACGCGTTTTCAATCATCAAACCGATCAAAGGTTATACAACTCAAAAATGAGCTTCATAACCTATCGATGCAATCGCTCTCCATGACTCAGTATCTCACTGAAGTCAAGAAAATAGTTGATCAAATATCTGCGGCAGGATCTACTGTTGATTCGGAAGATGTAATGATCTACATCCTCAACGGGCTTCCTCCGGAATATCAATCTTTCACCACTTCGATCAGGACAATGCAGAATCCGCTATCACTTGACAGCCTATACGCGCTGCTCATAAGCGAGGAGATTCATCTGAAATCAGCAGCGGCAAGACTTCCTAAACCACCGGACAGTCAGACTGCACTCTACACAAACACTGGACGAGGTCGACGTGGGCGTGCCCGCTCGAATCAAGACAATCAATTGTCACAACGGGCAGCCCCACCTTCATCTGTTGTCTGTCAAATCTGCAAGAAGAAAGGGCATCAGGCAGACACCTGTTGGCACCGTTTAAACATGAACTATACACCAAATCAACCAACCAAGAAATCTAATGCTTTGCTTGCGGCCACTGACAATGTTTCCGTTGACGACTGGTACATTGACTCGGGCGCATCCTCACATATGACGAACAAGAACGATAATCTTGACACCTCCTACGTCTACACCGGCTCAGATCGTGTCACCATTGGGGACGAAAGATCCATTCCTATCTCTCATACGGGAACAGGACTTCTTCCAACCCCAGCTAGTACTCTTCTTCTCTCTCGCTTACTTCACATACCCTCTTTATCTTACAATCTGCTTTCCATATCTAATTTAGTTAAAGATAATCCAATCTCTATTATTTTTTATGCTAATGGTTTTACATTCAAGGATCTGAGGACAAATCAAACTATCCTTCAAGGACCGTGTAAAGACGGGCTGTATCGTATTGCTGCTCAAAAGAAGCCGCTTACAACAGGATTACTGTCTACCAGAACTTCATCCGTCAACTGGCATAGTAGGCTGGGTCATCCGCACGGCCGCATCCTTCATCGCATCTCCACTAGCAACTCTTCTTTGCACATTCCTACATCTAAATTTGTTTGTAAAGCTTGTCTGACGTGTAAAGGACATAAAATTCCTTTTGAAACATCTACTAGCTCGTCAAAAGCACCTTTAGATTTAGTTCATTCCGATGTTTGGGGACCCTCTCAAATTCCCTCTCATCAAGGCTTTCGGTATTATATCATATTTGTAGATGACTACTCACGCTATGTTTGGTTGTTTCCCTTGGTTTCAAAATCTGATGTTACTACTATTTTTATCAATTTTGTTACTTATATTGAATGACAAACTAACCGCAATTCTATAACAACCACCACTATTACCCCATCTATTACCCCATGGATAGGACCATATCACTCATTCTATAACAACCACCACGCGTCCACCATTCAGGTTGCCTAAAAGACCCTTGCCCCTATCAAGCAACAACCACAAATATACCTATGTCATGAGGCCAATTCAAGATGTTTTGTAAATACTCCAGACATTCTCTACACTTCTTTGTAATTAGTGTACTGTTCACATTTTTAGGCAGTTAATATCAATCTTCCAACGGTTTTGAAAACTAGCGGGGGTTTTCTAGCGGTTAACAAACTGCCAGTATAAACCGCGTAGGAAACAAATTGCGGCGGTCATTTTCTGATGCTAAAGGTTCCAGCGGCTTTCTGACGGCCAGCACAGCTGGTAAATTCCGGTGGTCATAACGCAGGCGACCGCCGGTTAATTACCGACGGCATACCGGATACCTTAAACGCAGTAAATACAGGCGGTTAAAATAAATTGTCCGGTATCGATGTTTTCGATGGCCAAACCGCTGGTTAGCCGCCGGAAACATGTAACATTTAAAGCTAATGCTCGCTATATTGCTTTTCCTCTCCTTAATCTGAAGTAGTTTGCGATCGACGTCTCTCATAGTTTTCTTCTGAATGCATACCATGTTTCAGACGGGTACAAGAATCATGCTTTCACATGATGAGAAGAGGAGAATGACCAACTTTCCAAGCAGGAGAAATTTCTATCGCATGTTATTTTTTCAAACTAAGCCAATAGCTGGCCACAAACCATAAAAAATCCACTGCTCAGTCTTCACCACCCACCAAAACCATGGAAATCCATGAAAAGACTTCAACATGCCTTCTAAAGCAAACTTTCAATACCTGTAGCACTGTAAAGTAAAAGATAGAACTGTTCACAATGAAATTAAGAAAAAAATGTGTAGAAGGTTTTAACGGTAACTTAATGGTAATCTGACTCGACTAGCTCCATTGATCAAACGTATGAATTAATTATTATTCCGCTATTCACACTATGAGGAAATCCCCCATAACTTTCCCCTCATTTGTCATTTATTATCATCTTAGACTTGATAAATAGACAAGCAGCACAATAGTCAGCTTTGTCTCTACCTTTTCACTCTAAATTCAGTCCTAAATTAACATATATAATAGCTGATAACAGCGTGATTAAAGGCTAAATTAGTACTAATTCGGTATATAATTTTACTGGCAGTCAGTCTAATGAAGCCCCGTGTATACTGTACCGTTCACCCATATTCGTTCAAACAAATTATACGAATTAGTGGCCAAGTGTGGGGGGAGAGAGAGAGAGAGAGACTTCAAACATTTCAAACCGACCATGAAGTCCAAATATTGAACAAAGAAACACGTAGAGCTGATTTTCCATGCAAAGAATGTTTTACTCTTCTCTGATCTTACCTCTTCGCTGTCAATATTAGTGGTCAATTAATTAGAATGCTATTAAGAAATTAAATTAATGCTTCGTACTTCTCAACATATGTGATCATGATGGTCATGGATCATGGTCCATAACTTAAGTTTCGTTTGGGATGGCTTCCTTCTTGCTTATTAAAGCATTTTTTTAGGAAAAAATTATTAAAAAATTATTTTAAAAAGCAGGAAGGAAGATATCCCAAACGAAACCTTAATGCTAGCATCAACCATGCATGGATGGTTCATCATGCATGCATCCATGAGAGCTGGAAATTAAGCATCCATGCATGCATAAACCAAAAGTTGAACTTTGAATTGAATCTACAGTCAAATCAACCTTTTTTTGCCCACTCACTAAATTTCCAAACATAACCCACAACGTGATGATCACGTGATCCCTCTCCTATATAAATCCCAACGCCATCCTTCCCTCCTCCACCTTGCAGTTATCACCTTCATTCAATTCTTCTGTGAGATCTACAATACCTGTGATTTCGATAAAGTGATCATGGAGAAGAATTTGAAGTCAAGAATAGCTATTATAGGCGGAGGTATTAGTGGCCTGGCGACTGCAAAGCAGTTGCTCCCGTTCGAGCCAGTGCTGTTCGAAGCCACCGACTCGATCGGTGGTGTGTGGAAGCACTGTGCCTATCGATCGACGAGGTTACAGACGCCGCGACCCGACTATGAGTTCTCAGACTACCCATGGAAGAATCGGGCCGACCCGAGCTTCCCAACCCACACAGAAATTGTGGATTATCTTCATGACTATGCTACAACCTTTGGTCTGTGGCCTCTCATACGCTTCAGGTCCAAGGTTGTAGAGATGAGATATCTTGGTGACTCGGAAAAGGCCGGTTTCACGCCTTTGTGGGGGGAGGATGGACGGCCATTTGCCGATCAGCCAATCTGGGAGCTTGGGGTTGTGACCGGTGACTCCCATGTCATTGAGGTTGCTTGATCTCCTTGCCTTGATATCTGAATATTTTGCATCTATAATACCCTTAATTTCTTTTACAGCCAATTACAAATATTTATATTATTTGACCTGATTACATGATTTATGATTGGTTATCTGCATTATTAATTTAACCTTCATCAAGATAAAATTAACATTTTTACTTTTCTACCTATCTTGACTAAGCATTGACTTCCTATATAGAACATGTTTTCAAATAGGATAAGTAATAATATATAAAAGTCAAACACAACCTTTTAATAAATTGCCATCCCTAATAATAAATAAGGAATGTGAAAATAATCAACACTATTATTATTATTATTATTATAATATATATAAAAGTACTCTATCAAGATAATATATAAATGCTCTCTCCCTTTTGTAAGGCATATATCTTTTATGGTAATATATATACATATGTAATGTTATAAATATGTTAAATTCTTATGAAAAAAAATACAAAATATAAAATAATGCAAAATTTATATGAAAACTAATAAGAGAAATATAAACTAAGCCTATTTAATAATTTATCCATATAAACATATACTTAATATATAATATTGAAAATAAAATGATTGTATAATGTTTTCAAATAGTGAAGACTTTGGTAGAAAAATACAAGTGATATATATGTGAAGAAGATATGCTTTCAATTATAAGTTTTTTATCATTTTATATTTAATATTTTTATATTAAAATTCTTTTTTCTTAATAGCCAATGTCAGTCCCAAGGCCGACTAAAAAAGACTGAAAGTATTTTTAACATCCTCAATTTATTCCTCACATTTGATTAAACATCTCATAGACATATACTATCTTCAAATAGTTGAGATAAAGATAGTACTAGTGCAAAAGATTAGCATAATAATTTAAATGATGCTAAGTTTTTTACTATATATACATATATTTCATAGCATGCATGTCTTCTATGATTTAGGTTTTGGTTTTGTTTGGGACGGCTTTCTTATTGCTTTTTAAAGCAGCTTTCTACTACAAAAATTTTAATTTTTGTACTAGAAAGATGCTTTAAGAAGTAAGAAAGCCGTCCTGAATGAAACTTTTGTTTGGGACTGCTTTCTTAAACATCATTTTAGTGCAGAATTCTTGATATTTATCTAATTTTAGACCTATATTACTCAACTATGGCAGTGGTACAAATTTGAATTTGTGGTGATGTGCATTGGAAAATATGGTGACACCCCAAAGTTGCCGGTATTTCCAAAGGGAAAGGGACAAGATGTATTTAAAGGCAAGGTGATGCATGCATTGGATTACTGTAAACTCAATGAGGAAGAAGCCACAAAGTTGATGAAAGGAAAGAAGGTTGTGGTGGTTGGTTACAAGAAGTCAGCAATTGATTTGGCCACTGAATGTGCCCAAGTAAACAAAGGTAATTAATTAATTAATTAATTATCAGTATTACATTTAAGTTTGATTATATATGCATATAAAGCAAAAGATTATTTACAATAAAAAATGTCAAAATATTTTTAGCAAAATTTATATTTATAAACCCACTTTCATATTTTGTTGCTTTTTGTTATAAATTTATTATTCTAATTGGAAATTCTGCTAGCTATATCTGCAAATTATTTAAAAATGTGGCTTAGCATAGATTTTTCATCCTTTTTTTCAAAAATATTGGCTTAAAAAAATTAATTAAGTTCAAATAATAATAAATATGTGTCTATGTGTGTATAAGTGTCAATAGAAAATAATTATGTTCAAATAATAATAAATCTCATTTCATCAATTTTGTGTTGCTTTCTCCTTTTATAGCAGAGATTGCAGTTCAAGGATTTTGCTTAATTGCATGGAATTTTTGGCATATATATCGAAGTAAATCAATATTAGGTTTCGTTTGGAACAACTTTCTTACTGCTTTCTAAAACATGCAGTTTTTTCATTCAAAAATTTCTTAAAAATAACAGGAAAAAAAAAAACAATAACTAAAGCCTATCTCAAATAATGCATAAGAAGCCTCCATGATTCTTCTGAGAAATTTCCAATAAACTAATTTCTCACAATACTTTTCATATATTAACATCACAATGCTTTTTGTCAAGTTAACTTCTAAGCAAATTCTTGTATTATAATAATTATTGGATATTTCATGTACTGAATTGAAAAGTTTTTTTCCCTTAAAACTATAACCATTTGTCTCTCCAAATTAATCTTCTCATAAAAGCAATTAACTGTATACTTTTCAAGTCATAATTGGACTGTTAAGCATTTGTTGTTATTAGATAAATAATTGGTTGACTTGTATTCATTTAAGAAGGCTGTTGACTTGTGTTTTTATCTGTTGACTAGAAATTGGAAGTCAAGCTTACTTTTATTGAAAAAAAAAAATCTTTTTAACATGCAGGGCCAGATGGTCAACCTTGCACGATGCTGATAAGGACATTGCATTGGACTGTGCCTTCCTACTCCATATGGGGCCTCCCCTTCTCCCTTTTCTACTCAACTAGGTTGTCTCAGTTCCTTCATCCAAGGCCAAATCAAGGCTGGCTTAGAACAGCACTCTGCCAACTCTCAACTCCATTGGTATATACCCTTATAATCAATCAATTTTCTTAAATATAAATAATATTTTATTATTCTTATTATTTATAAGAAAAATAATAAAAATTTGGAAAATTTTGTTGTGTTTTAGCAATATCAATCAAAAATATAATGAATGTAATTTTCTATAAAATTAACTGCGAAATTGTTGTCTAAGGCTTCGTTTGATATAACTTTCTTACTGCTTCTCAAAATAGTTTTCTAGCACAAAAAAATAATTAATTTTTATATTAAAAAGTTGATTTAAGAAGCAGTAAGAAAGCCGTCCCAAACGAAGCCTAAGTATTTAAAATTTTGAATTTTTTTTACGAGTGTTATAAATTTTTATCATAATTTAATAAATTTAGATAAAGAAAAACATTTTATCACCAAAATTTTCAAAAAATAATAATTATTATTATTAAAAAATGGGGCAATTATTTGTAAAATGAAATTATAAGAAAGTTCTACAAATATATATATCTTACTTATATTGCACATAGGAATAATTACATAGATAAAAGAGACTCAAAGCAATAAAATTTTGAATTATTTTTTACGAGTGTTATAATTTTTTATCATAATTTAATAAATTTAGATTAAAAAAAACATTTATCACCTAAATTTTCAAAAAATAATAATTATTATTATTAAAAAATGGGGCAATTATTTGTAAAATGAAATTATAAAAAAGTTCTCACAAGTATATATCTTACTTATATTGCACATAGGAATAATTATATAGATAAAATAGACTCAAAGCAATAAAACTGCCACAAAGCTTACTCTTTTATTTTTTTTTTATCACTATGAATAAATATAATTTTTAAATATTTAAATCAGATTAAAATTAAATTAATATTAATTTATTTTAAAAAATACATATTTTCCTCCATGATTTACATATATTAAACTTTTTGCATTTCATGCAGAGGAAGGGTGTCTCGAAATTCATAGAGTCATATCTAACTTGGAAACTTCCACTGAACAAGTACGGGTTAAAACCTGACCATCCCTTTGAAGAAGACTACGCTTCCTGTCAGATGGCCATATTGCCGGAGAATTTCTTCTCAGAGGCGGACGAGGGAAGGATCAAGTTTGAGAAAACAGAAAAATGGTGGTTTTGGGAAAAAGGAGTGGTTTTGGAAGACCGGAGAAAGCTGGAAGCTGATATCGTCTTCCTCGCCACCGGTTTCGACGGCAAGAAGAAGCTCCGATTGGTTCTTCCACAGCCCTTCTCCGGCCTCATAGAGGATTCCTCCGGCGTCATGCCTCTCTACAGGCGAGTTAATAAAGAATTTATCTATATATATATATATGTTTACCTTATAATATTTTTAGTTTAATATTGTAATTAATGAAACAGGGGAAGCATAAATCCATTGATTCCTCGCATGGCCTTCGTGGGTTATATTGAAAGCGTATCGAACCTGCACACAGCAGAGCTGAGGTGCAAATGGCTGGCAAGGCTGCTTGAGGGGCGGTTCAAGCTTCCAAGCGTTGAAGAAATGTTCTCACAGATAGGTCAGGAGACAGAGATAATGAGGAAGACGACGAGGTTCTATCGTCGCCATTGTATCTCCACCTTCAGTATAAATCACAGCGATGAAATATGTGAGGAGATGGGGTGGAATTCATGGAGGAAGAAGAGCTGGCTAGCTGAGGTCTTCAGCGCTTATAACAATCAGGACTATAAGGAAGACGATGGTGATTATGATGGTGATCATCATGATGAATGATTCATATATTATTATTTACAAAGATGCGCGTTATAAAGGAATTCAATAAATATGTTCTATTATTTAATGAAAAATAAGATTGAATAATTATCATATTCCAAGAGTGTAAGTTTATTTATTTATTTCATTTTGAATAAATTTACTAATTTGATGTTGTTTTGCAGTATGAAATGATGAGTACCCAATCTGCCAAAATAAAATTAAAAAAATTAATTAAGCGAGAGATTAATACTACAACATCAACAATGCAAGTCTTTATCTGGAGGAAGTCTACTAAAATTTTTTTTTCTCTAATATTATTTTGTGCGGACGTCGAATGCCATTCGGAGATCAACCAGAATGCGTCATGTTACCCCTATGCTTGGTACTACTTAGTATCGTGGCTCGGTACCACTGACATTTTTGGTTGGTCTCCAGACTGCATTATACATTCGATCTCCTCCGCACAGAATAATTCCTCTCTATTAAGAATTAAATTCTCATTTAAATGTAATAAAAAATACTTGTAATAACTTTCTAATCAAGCATTTTAGTTCTGCCTCTATTTTTCTTAATATAGTCGGGTCTAATAATGATCATTGAAAGGTGAACGTTTTATGCGAGGATAGGTAAGGGTAGACATAAAAAAGACAATGAAATAAAATAGATTGAGCCTTTAATCACACTTAAATTTAGTTATGATTTCATAATTATGATTGACTTTTTAGTCGATCATTATCAATTTCCTCCCAATTAATATTTGAATGATATTGGTACAGAATTAACAATTAACTATAATTAACGTACTTCCAACTCTGTCAATCCCAGCTTCTAAATCCAAAAACCAACAGAAACGATATCTAATAACAATTTGCGCTTAAGCAAAAACAAATAATTAGTGAAAGACAGGATAGGAGAGTGATGGCATGCTTAATTAGTCTTAATCTTTGATTTAGTAATAGTTACACACGTGCACAAAATCAAGGAAGAAAAAAAAATCATTTTAATGCACCATAATTTTCCTATTTATGAATTTACCTTCATCTTTTATGCAATCAAACCTTCATTTACATGAGCACGTTAATCACCAAGTTAAGGAGAAAGAAGAAAATTAAAATTATGATAAACCAATTTTTAATGCTTTTTTTTTGGGTTGAAATTTGAGAGCTTATATGAAACATATTAGTTGAAGCATTTTTTCGACTAGCTTGTCTAAGTCTATTACTACTAGCTTCTAGAATGTTCTTATTAACTTATAAATATGCAAGTATTGTAGTAGGAAATATCATTGATGAATATATATCCCTTTTGAAGCTTTCAACTTAGTTTGTTCCATGGATTGGGAGTTCCTTCTAGTAGATCAGACACTTCCGCTGATCCACTAAATCAGTTGATATTAGTGACAGGAGCTTGTGAAAAATGACGAACTGTCGAAGAATATGGACTATTGATGATGATCGAAGCCGAAGAAGATGAGTAGTCGATGACGACGTCAAAGAAGTTGGGCTGTCTATGATAATTGAAGCCATGAAGCCTTTTATGCAGCTCAAGTGAAGGCATCACTTGATCGAATAAACAATATACTTTTTTTCTATAAAGAGAAAATGAACCTCATCAGCAACCATATCAACATCTTCATCTTCGCTCCTTCCCTCCACTTTCTCACGCAATCACAAACAAATTCACAATCAACCCGCCATCGTCCACGATTACCCTTCGCTCGAACTTCCACTTCAATGACAAGATCCTTCGCCCAACCACGCGGTCCGCAACCATCTCGCGACCATGGTTTGTGAATCGCCTCAGCTCTAACACGCGATTTCTCGACCAGATTCGTCCACACACCCGGTGTCTCGCATCGTCGCTCATTCTGATTCCCCGTACGTTTTCTTCTATGATCCAACCCCACTTCCGCCAGCACCACCTGGGCTCGTCGAGCAGCTTTTAGCACCCAATCAAATTCCAAGCACTTCCGCGCGACATTGCCCATCAAATCGAGCTCCTCCGCTTTCGCAGATGATCGCGACTCCGTCTAAATCAATTATAATCATCTCGCTCCCGCTACAACACCCGAACAACGAATCCATGCCTGGCGATGAGCACAATAACATGCCTGTCATCCAACCCAGTCTCGTTGCCGGCGATTCCATGTCTGATTCCTCTCACCACCACACCAGACCAGAGATCAAACCCAGCTCCCTGGCCCAACCTCTTCACCCCCCGTAGTCGAGCAACCCTATTCCGCCACCAATTTTCCCATCTCAACTGACTCCTATTCCATCGCCCCCTGCACTAATTTCTCCTCCATCCCCTACAGGGATCCCTTCCTCAGCTTCTCTGCCCCCACCTCTATTTTCATCATTATCTTCTCTGTAGTTATAATACCGCCTCCAACACTTCTCGCACTATAGGAAAATCACTCATTACCAGTAAAATTTTATGGCGGCTTTCCAGTGGTTTTCTGATGGAAGACAATGAGACAGCTTTTCCGATGGAATTTTCCGGTAGTTTCAGTTTTTCGACATATTTTAAATAATTTAACTAAAATGACTTTAATTTAATTATTAATTTTATTTTTAAAATAATTATTAATTTTAATTTTTATAATTAAATTAACTAGTAAATTTCATTTCATTTTGTGTCATTATATACTTTAAATATAAAAAAGTGACAATGAAAATGTATTTTCCTGTTCATCAATGTGGTTGGGTGTTTCAAAATTTTCCCAAACCCACCTGGGTTTGAATCGCATGGCAGGTGAGTAGTTGCGGGGGCTGGGCAGGCAGCCCACGGGCGCCGACAAGCAGGTTGTCAAGCCGGGCGCGGGCAGCTGGGAAGCTGGGTGGGCAGCGGGTAGCGTAGCGTCCCGGGCGGGCTGGCCAAGCATCACGGATTTTTTTTTTAATTTTCCCATAGCCTATTTCAGCCGGAAAGCCGCCGGAATTATTTCTTGCCAGAAAATTTTTTCTTACGCTGGTTTTACCGGCAGAAATTTTTCTACTGGAAAAATGCCGGTAAATTCTAAAACTCCCGGAAAATGATTAATTTCCGTCGGAAAATTCTGCCGGTAATAGATAATTTTCTTGTTGTGCCGCACTATTACAGAGTATCTCTTACTTAAGCTTTGAATAACTTAGCTTCTAGAATATTTTTATTAGCTTATAAATATGCAAGTATTGCAGTAGGAAATATCATTGATGAATATATATTCCTTTTGAAGCTTTTAAGCTTAGTTTATTTCTTGAATTTGGAGTTCCTTCTATCATATCTAATTCTTCTGCCGATCCACTACATCAAGAGCCATGTCTAGCTTCACTACTGAATTAGTAAGAAAAAAAAAACTAGAAACAAAAAAAAAAGCTAGATTTATAAAACAAAAAAAGAGTGATGATACAATAAAAATTGACATCAATATCACATAGATGATGTAGTTAAAGCCAAAAGCACGCAACTAATATTGATCGATTGATTGTGAGTTCTTATTATCAATCAAGAGGCCTCAAATTTTCATGTTTGATTTGAAGGTTTGCATCCCTTGGTGCAAGTTAATTAAGTGCATCTTTTTCTCTTAGTTATGTGTAAATTATGAAGCGAAGACAAGCAAGTAGAAAGTAAGAGAGAAGAGATTTGTACTATTTTTCTCAAAATTTTATATGAATTTTGATACGTCATCATGAAATTATCTTGATCGGGCACGAATCTCGAGGCAAAAACACAATTCAGAAACTTCAAAAATTAAATTCGGGAGCATGTGAACTCCAATTTCAGCGAGCTTATAGTCAAACTGAGCGTCTCGGAAATACGAACCCAACGACACCAAGTTCAACCCAATCCAAGCCCAAATGGGTCCGAATCATGGACCCGAAGTGCTGTTGGAAGGTTCAAACCGCAATTTGAGTTACCAAACGGTCTCCGATTTTAACGAGCTTATACTCGAATCGAAAGGCTCGACGAGATGAATCCAACGAGCTCAAGATCGCCAAAATCCAACATCACTAAGGCCCTCAAATGACCAACGAACGGTGCACAATCGTATGATTCAATATCGGCCGTCCATTCGACCACTCTCTATTCGCCCCTGATCTCACGCCTATTTAAGGGCCATGCCACTCTAGAAAATCTATAAATAGAGCCCTCATTTCTCACGAGGGACGATCCAAGCAAGAAGAGAAGAGGAGAAGAGAAGGAAGAGGAGAAGGAAGAAGCTCCTCCTCGACCACCGCCGGAACCTCGCTGGACCACCGCAGGAGCCTCGCCGGACCACCCCCGAACCACCGTCGGAGCCTCGCCGGACCACCGTCGGAGTTTCGTCGCACCACCACCTCAAGGCCCGACGTTCAGGCCTGGCGTCTTCATCTGAGGCCTTCACCTTCGCCAGACGCCCTCACTTTTACAAGTGGCCTTCACCTTTGCCAGAGGCCCTCACCTTTGTTAGAGGTCCTAACCTTCGCTGGAGACCCTCACTTTTACCATTGGCCTTCACCCTCGCCAGAGGCCCTTACCTTTGCCAGAGACCCTTGTCTTCGTCAGATTATCATCAAAGGCCGTATGCTCCACCAGAACATCACATGAGGCCTTCACATTCGTCAAAGGCCTTCACCAACACCTGAGGCCTTCACCAACACCTGAGGCCTGGACTTCTGCTGGGCCACTACATGACGTCCAGAGTTCTACCAAAGTACCGCCCTACTACAACGGTCCTTCTGACCTCTGTCGCCTACTACGGTCCATCCGACCTCCATCACCAGACAACGGTCTTTCAGACCCCAGTCTCCTATCGACTACGGGCCTTCAGGCCTTCATCGCCTACTACGGTCTATCCGACCTCCATCACCAGACAACGGTCTTTCAGACCCCGGTCTCCTGCCGACTACGGTCTTTCCGACCAGACAAACATGTATATGTAATTCCTACTATGTAATGCAATCTAAATGATGTACATTTGCTACATCAATCCAAGGCCTTCTCCCAAGGAAGAGCCTCATTTGTAACGACTACAAATACTAGTGGATTCATTCAAACTGGGCCAGACCCCGTGATTTTTCCCCCTTTTCAGGGGTTTTCCACGTAAAAACTCTGGTGTCTCTTATGAATGCTACACCATCTCTTATCTG